TCCCTTTAACCCCCCTCTTTATTATTATAATTTTCATGACAGTTGAATGTATCATTGGTACATAATTGTGAATTTGCAGATTGCTTCTATTAATTAGGCATATATAGCAATGTACAATCTTGTTTTACCACAATTCTGAAAAAGAGTATATGAATTTAGGCTTTGATAGGCAGCAAGCAATAATGCATAGATATAGGCCAATGAATGCCAATGGAACACAATTTTAATGTAGTAAATAAAGTTTAAAGACCCTGTTGGAAGTGAAAAATGAAATAGATGAATTATGTACCAACAAAAAAGCCATAGATTACAATCATATGAATCGTATGCCATTTTAGTGTTTGCTAGAAGAGTAACAGCTCTCTGAAAACTCGAAATATAAAGCTTTGAAAATCAGAAGTTATCGACCTAAAAACAAGAATGACTTTGCATTAATTAAGCACGGCTATTTGCCTCAGCTATATAGGCGAGCCGATCAGGTCAACATGTTATGTCGTAACTGTATCTGTAAAAAAATTGACCCCTGTTGCCCCATAATTTGGAGGGTGCGGAATATGAAATTTTAGTTTGCTTTTGTGCAATACTCAAAAGGAAAATATTTCTTATTTCTTTATATTTTGATTCTATGTTCATTGATTCGGTTTTTAAATGTACATTAAAATTGAAAGATCAACTAGAAAAGAGTGAGAGAGTAAGAGAGAGAGAGAGAGAGACCCATTGCGTGGTAGTACGATCACTATACAATGAATTTTGTCTGCTCCTTCAGGGTCCTGAGGGGGTTACAAATGTACTTCAGATTCTTCGCGACCAACTTGACGCAATCCTTGCTTTGGCTGGTAAGACATAATTGTCTTAAATTTATAAATCGTGTGGAACTTCCTGAATTTATTTAAAGACACCAGGGGTAGTTGTCAAGGTTATACATGTAAGTTATAATCAGTAATACCTCAGCCACACCACAACCCAGACTCCATATCGACTCCAAAACGACAATTTTGTGGCCAATCCGGGTCATGTCCTTTTTTGATCAGTATGTTGCAGTTCTTTCCATATAAACGAGAACCATAGTACCCATGGTATAACCATGTTTATTTAACAAAGGTAAATTGGTGGTAACAATGCTAACCATGGTTCTTTTCTGCATTATCACGGTATTACCATGGTACAACTGGTAATTGTGGTACTTTTGCTCTACAGTGTGAGTCAAAAAAACAGTTTACACCTAGAAAACTGCTCATTATTTATGAACAGTAAATTATTTTTCATCTTTATATCGAAGAATGTTTCATCCCAAATCGTTTCGTATCATTTTTGTGTGGCATGTGGGCATGCTTGGATGAACAGGAGACATTGTTTAAGAGAGTGCAAAAATCGACAAACTGATACCTATGTGATGTTTGAATAAAACAATTAGGATATGAGTATTAAATCGGTCTTTGCAGATCCAAGTATTAACATCCCTAACACAATTAATCATGCCACACATATCAAAACACACACAGAGTCCCACTCAGTCAGTCACAAACACACACGCACACACGTACACAATCACGCACACAACGCACGCCCACACAGATCGAGACACACTTCCGCGCACTCGCACACTCAGATAAATGAAAAATACTCGCCGCCAAGTCATTATTACGTATTGAACATTTCTGTAAAATCGCAAATTTCCAAATAAATATCATAATGCCATATGAAAGTTTGGTACATGAACATCACAATGAATAGTTTCTCTCAAAGGACTCGGTCAGTCTGCATCTAAATGTGCTATGTGAGTGTGTGTGTGTGTGTGACTTCGCTTCTGAAAAAAGCATATACAATGCATCTCATTTGATAAATTCAACTCACTCTCTCACTTTAATACTTTTGCGCAAGTCGATTTTGGCACCGTCGCAAAAAATACCTCCTGTTCATCCAAGCTTGAACACATACCTCACATAAATGATACCAAACGATTCTGGATATAACACTCGTTCAAAACATGTATGATAATAATCTTTTGTTCATAGCTGACTTTTAAAATAAATGACAATCTTCTGAGTGTAAACGTTTTTTGACTCACACTGTATATGTAATTGTGTTGTTCTAACAGGTGTCATCATGGACTTATTTTATATAACATGACTGTCGGGTATTATACCTTGTCTTTTTTCTTTTCTTCTCCATAGGTTGTATATCCCCGAACGACATCCCACCCGGAACTGTGGTTCATGAATCATACTATCATATGAACAGAGGGATATCGCAATAACGCAGTAAAATTGCAAAACCGTAGACATTTAAAGTTTGAGTACTTATGTGATAGCATTGTGTAGAAGGTATTTTATATATATATAGTTGTTTAGATAAGATTTGGAATCATCAACAAATAACATATTGACTCATACTTGCTGAAAATGACAATTTATACATATATACACTGTGTATATACATATATAATATAGGATTTCGCGGCCAAATTCGCAAGTTTGTCATTAAAATTAATTTTTCTTGCGTTCAAATTCGACCGTTTTAGTGCTGTCAAGTTTACCTCGGGTTTATATTCCTTTTTCTAGTTTTCAAATCTATGAAGTTTTCGTGAGAATGTATGTATGTTTCATTCAAATTGAGGAGCTATGCGCTTCTGTCGCCATTTGGTCATCCGATTTGGTGCAACACGATTTTCTGACATCGCGACGGTGTAGTTCTAGCATTCTAATTCATTTGTAGCATTCAAATTAGCACTTTGTGCATTTAAATCATGGGCGTAAATCCTTACGTAATACCTATTGTTCAGAGGGGGGGGGGGATGATCTATTCATTCATCCGCCTGAACAATAGGTATTACGTAAGGATTTATGCCCATGATTTAAATTGATGGTCAATATACATTTCTCGTTTTTTTTTCATGAGTATTTCATCATATTTTATTTTCTAGCATGTATACACTTGTATTTATTAGATTTATCTGACATTCATCAGCATTTAAGTTCCCCACGTCAGAAGGTTGGTCTTGTCCCAGAAAGAAAAGGACAAAACAAGAAAACAATCCACTCCACCCACTCTTCGAACAACAGCCAGTGGGCAAGCGGCTTAAATCCAAACACAGCTTTCTGCACTCTGTAGAGCCCCTTAATACCAGCCCTCACAACCAAAGGATGACTTTGTGGTCTAACCACCTCCAGACCACTCCACATAAACTCTCCCTCAGCCCGAAGGAATCCCTCGCAACCGGTTCCAGTGAGACTTGGCCTACCTGGCTAAGCCTCAATCGCCTCAGAACTGGCTACGGACGATGCAGAGTCCTAATACAGAGGTGGGGTCTAGGAGACAAACAGCATGTGAATGCGGCCAGGAACAGACAATGGAATACCTGCTAGTCTGCCCACTCCTGCCAGAGCCATGCATCCAAGATGACCTGGAAGCCGTGAATTGCCGTGCCAAAGCCTGTGTGGACCACTGGACGGGACTTGTGTAGTGACTCGATAAGAAGAAGAAGAAGCATTAAGTTCGATTGTTAAAATTAAATAACGACTTGCATCCCCAATGGCAAATCATGCATTTTGCATTATTTTAAAAATGTAAAAGTGTGTTGTATTTCTTCCCCCTAAAATTTCGAATACGAATGACAGGTGTCGATTTAAATGACCTCGAAAAGTGACGATTAATTTGAATGCTAGTTGAGCAGTTTCTAAATTGAATGACAGATCTATGAAACCCTTCTACCAAAATCCTAAATTAAATACAAAAACGATCTGCGCTACTAAACTTATTAAAATGCAAGGTAAATCAATTCGAATGACAAACTCGCGAATTTCGCCGGGATATCTATTATATATAGAGAGAGAAAGCACTGCACACAAAGTATATGACACACTTATGTGGCATCAAAATTTGGTCCACACTTCGAAATGTGTCTTGACATATTTAAAAGATAAGGGCATTTTAAGAGTAATCCTTTTCATGCGACTTGAAAACTATGATAACTTCCCATATAAGAATGAAAATGCTCAGCCTCACAAATTAATTTTCATCTTTACCGGATCTGCACCTTTTACTTAACCAAACCATGAACCTATTACGCTGAATGTTCTTATTAAGTTGCACATAATCAAAAGGCGGCGGATCTCTTTGGAACAAAGAAAGAATCACGTCGAAAGTTCATCCTTATTAGGTCAATGACCAAACTAGCTGCCCTTTCAAAATAATGTAGGATATATGGAACCGAGAATTTGTTATTCATAATTGGAATTTAAAAAAAAAATTGTAATCATATTTGTATACGCAATTTTGCTGCGATAGAAAGAGGGAGAGGGAGAGAGAGAGTGATGGCTTGGCGGAGGGGTGTATACCTAAGACAATTCAATTGGCCTCATGTGTCACTTATTGAAATGTGAAACCATTACAAATAAGTAATTCGTAACCCGAACATGATTTCTTTTAAGGATATACAATAGGGTATTGGAATCGCCCTTCAACTGATATTTGAAAGTATAGTTGTAGTCATGTTACAATGACTATAAACCAGCTGATAATAATTTTAAATTACTTCTTGAAATAATATGTCATTATTGTTTTTTTATGTTTTCATCGTGGTGTGGTTTAAAGAAATCAGACAGTTAAAGTGCACTGTTGTAGCATTGCATGAACAGTATAATTCTGGTTATGACTTTTTTTTTCTTTTTTTTAATCGTGTAGTGATTTCACAGTCGCATTCCATCACGATCACAAAAACTTTCGAAAATCAACCTAAGGCATTTCAATAAATGCGAATTTATAATGTGCAAAGTGCAGCTTTCTCACTCCTGTCCCTGTCCCTTCTGTCTCTCGCCATCTCTCTCTCTCTCTCTCTCTCTTTCTTTTGAAAATATTGATTGGAGCATATACCATGAACGATGCGAACAAGTGAGGTCACTGGGCAATAACAGGATATTGTAAGTGAATAAACAGATAAGTCCAAGGTTCTCAAATGATCGTGTGGAAAGGTCTCAACTTTTCATACTAGTTTGTCTAAAATGGAGCTGTATACAGTGCTCGACTATGAGCGACTCGCCAAAGAGAAACTGGTTAAAGATGCATGGGAGTATTTTAACTACGGAATGGGACGAAAGTGGTGCTTTCAGGATAGCATCGAGGCATTTTCGAGGTATGTCAAACACGATCTCAAAATCCTTCGAGAAATCAACTCGAGGTTATATCAATATATAGCCTATTGTAGTTTGTAGACTTATATATTCCATCCATGAATGCATGTTTGTTGCACATTTCAGTAGGTGATGAACAAGGCTGTTGAAATTGCCTCATGTTCATTTTTTGGTATTAAGAAATCGTATTTTAATACGACCAATCTTCTACCGTAGTTATTGAAGACACTTTAAAAAAAACGGACAAAGGAAAAATAATGTCAGATGGAAATAACACATTTGCAAGTACTTTTGCACCTTCAGCTTTTCCTACATGTTTGTTACATGTTTCAAGTTGAAAGCTTTCCAAGATGTGCTTTCCTCAATAAATACATTGTAGCATCGGCATGTTGAACAATATGAACAGGTAATGACTGTGGAAAGAAATTGCGAAGTACTGGAAGCCATTAATGATGCAGGAAGTGGGATTAGCCATAGATAGCATGAAATAAACATTCGACCTCCAGGCTCCACCCCCTCCCAAAGTAAGGCCTTATTTCAGTAAGAGTTGGTCAGTGCACAGATTTGAATAGACAAAATAAAATACGTACAGAACTATATAGCCTAGCTTCCAATGGTTCGGCCTCCAAGGTAAATAATGAGTAGGTCTAATATAGTCATATAGTTTTTCTGCATGTTACCAAATGATTCACTGTTGATGATTGTTCTCGTCATGTCAACAGATATCGAATAAGAAGCCGGGTGCTTCAGGATGTGTCTAAGCGTAGCCTAGCCACATCAGTTCTTGGTCAGTCCATTCCATATCCAATCTGTATTTCACCTACAGCCTGTCACTTCTTTGCTCATCCTGACGGCGAAGAGGCAACGGCAAAAGGTATCATGTTCAGGCCTACTAAATGGTTTAAAGTTTTAGTACTGAATACTTGACTGCAATGTTCAACGGGTTCTCTTTTATTCATAACACAATTACAAAGACATTACAAAAAATCTCCGCAAGGGCAATTTCATGAAACCATTATATACTTCATGGAAAGGATATTTAGGTTGTGATTATTGATTTGATTGCGCAACATATTTTTATTTATTTAGTGTTGTCTACTTCACGATAATTGTAGTTTTTCCAAATCTTAATGATTACAAATATGTATTGGTTTTATGAGAATGATGAAAACAGTTTCATAAAACTTGTTATCAACAGCATCGATCTGTCACAGATCTATGACATATCTGCTCACAGCCAATCAAATGCAAGGATTTAAGTAGCTTATAATAATTATCGTATCTTGTTATTGATAAAAATAAACTACGACCAGATCCTATGAAATCTTGGTATGCAGGACTTAAACACTTTCTTTTTTAATTCAATGAAGATGGTGAATAATAATTAAGTTGGCAGTTTTCCTTCATTTGAATCTTCAGCTGCAGAAGCTGCAGGAGCCTTGATGGTACTCTCTTGCGATGCAGGCTCTTCCATGGAAGACGTGACCATGGCAGCACCAGGAGGTCTCCGATGGATGGGCATCTATCCCTTTACAGATCGCCAGCTCACAGAATACACCATCCGCAAAGCAGAGAAACTGGGATTCAAGGCACTTGTTGTAACCGTTGATTCACCTGTGCTAGGTATAGTTGGCGCCGTGGCGGAACTATTTGAACAGGACCATGTGTTAAACCATCCCTCCTATCGGTAAAGCTGTTGTCTGTTTGATGATTTTGCTTGTTTGTAATGATATGTACCCGCTGTCTATTTTACAATTGTACTTCGTTATCTTTATGATGTAATCGCAGACACATGTACAGCCCAATTGATGTAACTTTCTCTTTATAAGTGAACATGCCTTCCTATACTTAATTCTCTCCTCTCTTCCTTTCACTATTTTTTTCTTTCCTATCAACGTTCTGTTATATACAATGTAATTTTCATAATAATATCGATAATGTTCTTTCGGTAACTGTGTTAATTTATTATGGGCGTTCCCAACTCAAGCTACGCTTTCCGGGTTTTCGCCTCCTTCCGTATCTGAATTATTTACTGTATACTCTATGTTGAAATAATTGTTACATATATCATGTATATATACATTGTGTTTTATATTGTGCTGTTGAGAAGGAAATAAATGTTAATAAATACAATACAAAATACAAAATGTTAACGTTTGCTGCTATCTTATTAACTGCAATTGAAGAACATATTGTGATCAATTTTTACATACATCATTCTAATATCTGTAGAATAATATTCCTTGTTTTTCCTTATGCATACAAAGCATGCCTGTCTATGAGGCAGACATTCCATCGGCTCGTGCTGCCAAACAGGAGAGCATCAAAAACCACTTTGAGTACTTGAGGGAGATGCAGTACAACCCGAAAGCCACTTGGGAATACATACGATGGATCAAGAAAGTCACTTCTTTGCCCGTTGTCTGCAAAGGCATACTTACAGGTAATCATTCTGAGGAAATCGGGTCATGCAAAAGTCACCCAACATGATCACAAAGCCTTTAAAGGGGAAGTCTTTGGTTTCGATAGATAGAAGCAGAAAAAAAGAGAGGAACAGGTCAGTGAAAGTTTGAGCAAAAATCATTTGAAAACAAAAAATGTATGAATTGTCGAAAGTGCGATCATTCAAATACAAAATATCCAATAATTAAAAAAAAATTAAAGTTCATGAAATTTTCTGTACAGACCAAATTGGAGAGGAGCTCACAAGATACCTCATAGTGTTGCCAATTTGTGTTTCACTGATGACAACTTCAAAAATTCAAATTATCCTTTTTTTAGTTGGATATTGGTCTAACTTTCAATTAGTGGTTTCATCTTTCTGCTTTTATTTGAAGCAAGATAATATCCGGTTGGACTTCCCCTTTAAAAATACCCATAACCATCATCCATTAAGTGTGCAAGCATTACAATGGCGTATCGTATGATTGCTACGGGCAATGCAAAATGGTATTGAAATAGACCTTGAAGTGTTTCACAAAGATCCTAAGTCGAACTCAACTCTAAGTTGAACTTCAAAGTTATGGAGAGCCATTTGTAGCCTTAAAATAAAATATATTCGAAAGCGAGAAATCAAGTATTTTAGACTTTTTATAAATTCCACGTCAAGAACATGAAATCTCCTTGATACTAGAAAATATGAATCATTTGAGTCAACATTTTATGCCTTTTAAAATAACTTTTACAAAATATTTTCAAATATGCTAACCGCTTTCCATAATTGTTAAGTCTAACTTAGAAACAAGTTCAACTTGGGAGCTTTGTGAAACACCCCTCTTGAGTTGAAGTTGATTCTGTGAAAGTCTTTGTGATCATATTACCAAGAAATACATACAATATGTCATATTGAAAAATGCATGAAAAATATATCCAACAATCATTCAAAGTTTAGGGGGAAAGATGCAAAATACATCATTTTTTTTTTCTTGAAATAGCACATTGTCAAAGAATTTCAAGAAATCAATTGAAAGGCAATTGTTTAAACTTAATTATTGCCTATTGAAATAATGTGTGGATTATGGCACTGTCATGTTCGCACATTTCAATACGTGACGCACAAACATACTGCAATTGCCTTAGAGTGATTCCGTTTGCTATTCTCTGAGGTTGTGTTTTAATATCTGTATAAACAAAACTAAAAAACGGCATCAAATGTTTTTTTTCTTTTTTCCATTAATGTACAGCTGAATCTGCTTCAGATGCTGCAAACGCAGGAGTGGATGGGATTCTTGTTTCAGCACACGGTGGAAGACAGCAGGAAAGCTCACCTGCTCCAGTATGTACATGTAAATCCATGCCTATAATAATATTAATAGTCACATTTGTATCGTGCTTTATACTACGTTTGTCATTACTATCACCCCTCCCCGGTCATTGAATTATATTTGTTCATACGCACATGGTAGTGCACACGATCTTCTCCCTGGAGAGTATTTCAGCCAGGCGTCATTTTACAAGTGCACACATCCCAACCTAACCACATTAACGTTCGCATCCTACTGGGTACCCATTTAACATGGAGAGTGGCAAATGTAGAATAATGTCTTGCCAAAGGACGTTATATTGCCTCGGTGGACTTGAACCGCAAACCATGTGATCCACAGTCTGGCGACGTATTCACTAGACATCCACACCTCTACACCTATGTTAGCGGTGATGTACATAGCTCCCAGGGTCTACATGGATGGTGGTGTAAGGACGGGAACTGTTGTCTTTAAGTCTCGTGGGAGAGGCACAAGAGCTGTCGATGCTATCTGTCACAATGAGTTAACACTATTATGGTTGTTACATCTTTTTTGAACAGATCGATGCATTGGCCGAGGTAGTCGAGGCTGTACATGGTCGAGGAGTTGAGGTCTACATGGACGGAGGAGTCAGGACAGGAACTGATGTCTTCAAGGCTCTTGGAAGGGGTGCAAGGGCCGTGTTCCTAGGCAGACCAATCCTATGGGGACTTGCTTGTCAGGTAAAAACCTTGGGGACCTGGGCAAAATTGCATAAAACTTTGCACTGATGGTAACTTTGCCATTGATATGGCATATAACTATAAGGCGACATTACTCAACAGGCACTGTCAAATCAAGGTTTCCATGGAAGTTACCATTAGTTGGAAAGTTCCCAACAATGGTAAGTTTCATTCAACAGGGCCCAGGAGTGCAGAGTGTACATTGAGAGGGAATGGACCGTGAGAGGCTGGGAGGGGAGCTGGTTCCTCTAAGCTCATTCCATGCACCTAATCTAGTTTCTCCTCTCGGTGTTTTTACACGTGCATCGCATCATATTTCACATACACTGGCACATGCAGGAGGTTTCCCGTTTATATCAGTACAAAATAATCTAGCATGCAGTGAGAGTCATGGCCCACCTGAAACTCACATCTAAACAGTGTTAAATTACATTTTAAACTCATTTTATAAAGGTTAATATCCATGAGACAGTATTAAAAAACTTTGAGCAGTCTTGACAATATGCATTTTGATTTATTATGCCCTTGTTATAGCTCTCCCTTTAACCCCCCCCCTCTTTATTATTATAATTTTAATGACAGATGAATTAATTGTTGGTACATAATTGTGAATTTGCAGATTGCCTCTATTAATTAGGCATATATAGCAATGTACAATCTTGTTTTACCACAATTCGGAAAAAGAGTATATGAATTTAGGCTTTGATAGGCAGCAAGCAATATTGCATAGATATAGGCCAATGAATGCCACTGGAACACAATTTTATTGTAGTAAATAAAGTTTAAAGACCCTGTCGGAATTGAGAAATGAAATAGATGAATTATGTACCAACAAAAAAGCCATAGATTACAATCATATGAATCGTATGCCATTTTAGTGTTTGCTAGAAGAGTAACAGCTCTCTGAAAACTCGAAATCTAAAGCTTTGAAAATCAGAAGTTATCGACCTAAAACCAAGAATGACTTTGCATTAATTAAGCACGGCTATTTGCTTCAGCTATATAGGCGAGCCGATCAGGTCAACATGTTATGTCGTAACTGTATCTGTAAAAAAATTGACCCCTGTTGCCCCATAATTTGGAGGGTGCGGAATATGAAATTTTAGTTTGCTTTTGTGCAATACTCAAAAGGAAAATATTTCTTATTTCTTTATATTTTGATTCTATGTTCATTGATTCGGTTTTTAAATGTACATTAAAATTGAAAGATCAACTAGAAAAGAGTGAGAGAGTAAGAGAGAGAGAGAGAGAGAGAGAGAGAGAGAGACCCATTGCGTGGTAGTACGATCACTATACAATGAATTTTGTCTGCTCCTTCAGGGTCCTGAGGGGGTTACAAATGTACTTCAGATTCTTCGCGACCAACTTGACGCAATCCTCGCTTTGGCTGGTAAGACATAATTGTCTTAAATTTATAAATCGTGTGGAACTTCCTGAATTTATTTAAAGACACCAGGGGTAGTTGTCAAGGTTATACATGTAAGTTATAATCAGTAATACCTCAGCCACACCACAACCCAGACTCCATATCAACTCCAAAACGACAATTTTGTGGCCAATCCGGGTCATGTCCTTTTTGATCAGTATGTTGCAGTTCTTTCCATATAAACGAGAACCATAGTACCCATGGTATAACCATGTTTATTTAACAAGGGTAAATTGGTGGTAACAATGCTAACCATGGTTCTTTCTGCATTACTACGGTATTACCATGGTACAACTGGTAATTGTGGTACTTTTGCTCTACAGTGTGAGTAAAAAAAAAAACAGTTTGCATCTAGAAAATTGCTCATTATTTATGAACAGTTAATTATTTTTCATCTTTATATCGAAGAATGTTTCATCCCAAATCGTTTCGTATCATTTTTGTGTGGCATGTGGTCATGCTTGGATAAACAGGAGACATTGTTTAAGAGAGTGCAAAAATCGACAAACTGATACCTATATGATGTTTAAATAAACGATTAGGATATAAGTAACATACCTAACAAAATTAATCATGCCACACATATTAAAACACACACAGAGTCACACTCAGTCAGTCACAAACACACACGCTCACACGTACACAAGCACGCACACACACGCACACTCACACAGAGACACACTTCCGCGCACTCGCACACTCAGATAAATGAAAAATACTCGCCGCCAAGTCATAATTACGTAATGAACATTTCTGTAAAATCGCAAATTTCCAAATAAATATTATAATGCCATGATAAAAGTTTGGTGCATTGAATTATTTCTCCCAAAGGACTCGGTCAGTGTGTGACTTTGCTTCTGAAAAAAGCATATGCAATGCAATACTTTCAACTCACTCTCTCACTCTCTCACTTTAATACTTTGGCGCAAGTCGATTTTGGCACTGTCGCAAAAAATGCCTCCTGTTCATCCAAGCGTGAACACATACCTCACAAAAATTATACCAAACGATTCGGGATATAACACTCTTTCAAAACATGTATGAAAATCATTTGTTTTTAGCTGACTTTTAAAATAAATGACAATCTTCTGAGTGTAAACGTTTTTTGACTCACACTGTATATGTAATTGTGTTGTTCTAACAGGTGTCATCATGGACTTATTTTATTATAACACGACTGTCGGGTATTAAATACCTTGTCTTGTTTTCTTTTCTTCTCCATAGGTTGTATATCCCCGAACGACATCCCACCTGGAACTGTGGTTCATGAATCATACTATCATATGAACAGAGGGATATCGCAATAACGCAGTAAAATTGCTAAAGCGTAGACATATAAAGTTTGAGTACTATGTGGTAGCATTTTGTAGAAGGTATTTTATATATATATAGTTGTTTAGATAAGATTTGGAATCATCAACAAATAACGTATTGACTCATTCTTGCTGAAAATGACCATTTATTCATAATATATACACCCCCAAAAAACGAAACCGAGAATTATCGATGTTTTATCATAACTTAATCACAATAATAATTAATAAATGACACATATTTGTAAAGCTTAGACCCTCCTCTGTCATTTGATGCAACTTATATGATGCATATTTCACGCATGAGTGATTAAAAGCAATTTGAAGGAAGGAAACCGAAAAGTCATTTGGCGGGCGCTATCTGAATTTCGAAGAAAAATTCCCATTTCTAGAAAGTTCATTTTCGCTCTTTCATATGACATCTAAATCAAGATAAATATGTTTGTTTAAAGTGATGCTTGCATTTCCATAATTTGATTTAAAAAGTTCGTTTTCACAGAATTGGCAAAAGACTTTACTCCGTTTCATTGACGATCAGACATAGACGAAAGACTTCATGCATGGCTGATTGTCAATGAAACGGAGTTAAATCTTTTTCCAATTCTGCTTGTTGCTACGGCAGGCAGCCAGTGAAAACGTTTTTTCTCTGGGTCGCACTGTATACTGTGTATAAATATATAAAATCGGATTCCCCTGCCAAATTCGTTTGTCATTAAAATGAATTTGTCTTGTATTCAAATTCGACGGTTTTAGTGCTGTCAGGTTTATCTCGTGTTATATTCCTTTTTCTAGTTTTCAAATCTGTGAAGTTTTCGTGATAATCTATGTATGTTTCATTCAGGAGCAATGTGCTTCTTTCGTCACTTGGACATCCGATTTGGCGCAACACGATTTTCTGACTTCGCGACGGTGTACTTTTAGCATTCTAATTCATTTGTAACATTCAAATTAGCACTTTGTGCACTTAAATTGATATTCAATATACATTTATCGTTTATTATACACTTTTTATAGGTCATTCTTTTTCTTTCAAGATTGTTTCTTTTCATGTGTATTTCATCCTATTTTATTTTCTAGCATAATATACACTTATATAGTTATTAGATTTATCCGACATTCATCGGCATATAAGTTTGATTGTTAAAAATAAAAAAACGACTTGCATCCCCAATGGCAAATCATGCATTTTAGTTGCATTATTTAAAAACTGTAAAAGTGTGTTGCATTTCTTCCCCCTACTATTTCGAATACGAGTAACAGATGTTGATTTAAATGATAAAAATGACACCTCGACAAGTGACGATTAATTTGAATGCTAGTTGAGCAGTTTCTAAATCGAATGACAGATCTATCAAACCCTTCGACCAAAATCCAAAATTAAATACAAAAACGATCTGCGCTATTAAACTTATTAAAATGCAAAGTAAATCAATTCGAATGACAAACTCGCGAATTTCGCCGGGATATCTATTATATAGAGAGAGAGAAAGCACTGCACACAGAGTATATGACACACTTATGTGGCATCAAAATTTGGTCCACACTTCAAAATGTGTCTTGACATATTTAAAAGACAAGGGCATTTTAAGAGTAATCCTTTTCATGCGATCTGAAAACTATGATAACTTCCCATATAAGAATGAAAATGCTCAGCCTCACAAATTAATTTTCATCTTTACCGGATCTGAATCTTTTACTTAACCAAACCATAAACCTATTACGCTGAATGTTCTTATTAAGTTGCACATAATCAAAAGGCGGCGGATCTCTTTGGAACAAAGAAAGGATCACGTCGAAAGTCCATCCTTAAGTAATAGGTCCATGACCAAACTAGCTGCCCTTTCAAAATAATGTAGGATATATGGAACCGTTATTTATAATTGGATTTTTTAAATTAAATTGTAATCATTTTTGTATACGTAATTTTGCTGAGATAGAAAGAGGGAGAGGGAGAGGGAGAGAGAGAGAGAGAGAGAGAGAGAGTTATGGCTGGGCGGAGGGGTATATACCTAAAATAATTAAATTGGCCTCGTGCGTCAAATGTGCAACCATCCAAAGATGTAATTCGTAATCTGAACGGTTTCGGAACGTAGTGAGAGCTAGTTTGGTGTGATGGGGGCTTAGCTGCTGGTGCTTATTGTGGCTCGACCACATCACTTTCTAAAGGCCCGGTCACACAGCCTTTCGCGTCTGTATCGCGGGTAAAATTTCGCGATTTTTTTTTTGCCCGCGGTTGCCCGTGGTGGAAAATGTGCAAAATTGGCTTACCCGCGGTTTACCCGTAGTATGCCCGCGGAACAGACGCCGGCGACTGTTCCGCGTCCTTATCGCGGGTGAAGCGCGGCGGTACCGCGGCCTACCACGCTTACACGCGGTAAACACGCTAATGCACGTGATAACAACGCGGTACAGACGCGGAACAAACGTGCTATGACCGTGCTCCATCCGCGATTACCCGCTAAAATTTCGCGTCCAATTCCGCGTGTAACCACGTCTTAACCGCGGCCGTAGCACGTCCTAGCACGTTCGTTCCGCGTCTGTACCGCGTCTTTACCGCGTGTGTACCACGTGTACCACGTGTACCGCCCGCGATTACCCGCGGTCTAAATTTTTGGGCAGCCCAAAACTTTTTCGCGCGGCCAACCGCGTGTGAATTTTTTACCGCGTGTAACGACGGGTAAAGTACAGCTGTATCGCGTCTTTATCGCGACCTCAAAGCGTCCAACAGCGTCTGCTTCACGGGCAGAAATTTTTGGCCGTTATTCGGCCGCGATACGCCCGTGGAGGGCTGTGTGACCGGGCCTTAAGGCCCGGTCACACAGCCTTTCGCGTCTGTATCGCGGGTAAAATTTCGCGATTTTTTTTTTTGCCCGCGGTTGCCCGTGGTGGAAAATGTGCAAAATTGGCTTACCCGCGGTTTACCCGTGGTATGCCCGCGGAACAGACGCCGGCGACTGTTCCGCGTCCTTATCGCGGGTGAAGCGCGGCGGTACCGCGGCCTACCACGCTTACACGCGGTACACACGCTAATGCACGTGATAACAACGCGGTACAGACGCGGAACAAACGTGCTATGACCGTGCTCCACCCGCGATTACCCGCTAAAATTTCGCGTCCAATTCCGCGTGTAACCACGTCTTAACCGCGGCCGTAGCACGTCCTAGCACGTTCATTCCGCGTCTGTACCGCGTGTGTACCACGTGTACCACGTGTACAGCCCGCGATTACCCGCGGTCTAAATTTTTGGGCAGCCCAAAACTTTTTCGCGCGGCCAACCGCGTGTGAATTTTTTACCGCGTGTAACGACGGGTAAAGTACAGCTGTATCGCGTCTTTATCGCTACCTCAAAGCGTCCAACAGCGTCTGCTTCACGGGCAGAAATTTTTGGCCGTGATTCGGCCGCGATACGCCCGTGGAGGGCTGTGTGACCGGGCCTTTAATTAGGATCGAAGAACGGCAATAGGCCATTTTCGTAATGTAACAAAATTTAATGCATATAGGTCTTTGTTAAGTGCCTTAATACAAATTATTTCATTCACCTGATAGGAATAATAGTATTTCAATAGTCAGAATGCAACTCCATATATTAAGTGTTGCTAGGTAGGTCAAGCCATAATGTTTGTCCAACCTGGCAACAACTAATTCTGTCTATTGGAATACTATTATTCTTATCAGGTGAATGAAATAGTTTGTATTGAGGCACTTCACAAAGATCTATGCATTAAATTTGGTTACCTTATGAAAATGGCCTATTCCGTTCATCATACGGCAATCAGTCTGTTTGTAGTACGCCCTCTTCGTTTTAAGTACGTTGTCACTCCGTCTAATTGCAGGACGGGGACAATTTTGAACAGGCTCAAAGTTCTGGATCGAGCACTCTCCCGTATAGCCAGTCTGAGCCCGTCCATGAAGTTCTTAGATAGATCGTTAACAGTTACTACTACTTTCAACTCCGTTCGCACACAGTTTGAGCCCGTTTGGCAACATTTGCCAGAACGTATTGAGAACTAGTTAGGTGTGATGGTGGCTTTAGGCAATAAAAGTGGCCTCGTGCGTCACTCATTGAAATGTGCAAGCATTACAAAGATGTAATTCGTAATCTGAACATGATTTTATAGGATATACAATAGCAGGCGCGGATCCAGGGGGGGAGGGAACGAGCGGGCCTTGCCCCCCCCCCCCCCGCCAAAAAAAAAATAAGGAGAGAGAGATAAGGAAAAGAAGGGAAAGGGAAAGAGGAGAGAAAGGGAAAAAAGAAGAGAAAAGAAGAAAAGAAAAGAGAGAAGAAGGAGATCGGGGGGGGGGGGGAGACTTGCCTCACAGGCTGTTGCCTCCCCCCCCCCCAAAAAAAAATAAAAAATAAAAAAATAAAAGAGAAGGAAGGAAAGGGAAAGAAAAAAGGAAAAGAGGAGATAAAGGGAAGGAAAAAAGAGGAAGAAGAAAAAAAAGAAGGGGGATATCAGTTGCAATTTTCCCGCCAAAAAGTTGTGGATCGGGGGGAGGGGGAGGGGGAAAAAGGCCCTTGCTCCCCCCCCCCCTCCCGTACCCGCTAACAAAAAAAAGAGAAGGAATGAAAAGGAAAAGAGGAGAGCTAAAAGGGAACAAAAAGAGGAAGAAGAAAAGAAAAGGGAGAAAAGAAGGGAAGATCAGTTGCGGTTAATCCCGCCAACAATGTGTGGAGCGGGGTGGGGGTCAAAATGACCTTGCCCCTCTCCCCCCACCCCCAGCAAACCTAAAAGAGAGAGAGAAGGAAGGAAAGGGAGAGGAAAAGAGGAGAGAAAGAGAAAGAAGAAAAAAAGAGAATGAAGACGGGTAAGGGATATCAGTTGCAATTTTCCCGCCAACAAGGTGTAGATCGGGGGGAGGGGGGGGGGGGGGGGGGGGGATTTGGGGAAATAAAATCCAAACGTGGTTTATTTCTAATTCCATAACGGTGGTTTACAAATAATGCTGAAATGACATAATTTTCCGAGATTTTTTCTCACTTTTAAGTAAATTATACTTTTTTATGCGTTTGTTGGA